CCCCCGCCGCAAGATTGCCCACACCCGCTGCAGGGACTTTCTCGGCTCCATCGCTGCGTCTCTAGACCCCCCAGCGACCTGCCCCAATCCTGCCGTCCACACTCCCACCCCCAGCCCAGTGGCCCGGCCCCCAGATCCCAGAACTTACCTCAGTCCTGGTGTGCTGCGGCCGGCCCGGATCTTCTGCACCCGCAAAGGAAGGCCCAGGAGGCAACTCAGGGCCGTGGAGACTCTCAGGATTTGGCCCCCCTGCCAGGGTAGGGATTTGGGGAGAAGATTCTTAAGAACATCAGACGTGAGAACTCTCCTCCTCAGCCCAGGGGATGCACCCCCACCGCGATGCTTCGGGCGCCCTCCGCACTCACCCCTTCCATGATCCCGCCATCGACCTCCACCAGCTGCCCCGCCATGGGGGGCGTCCTGGGGCCTGGCCCGAAACCACCAGGCCTGCGCCGGCACCGGAGGAAGAGGACACACGGCCCCCAGCCCCGCAGCTCCGAAGCCGCAGTCCAGGCCGCCTGGCGAGAAAGCGGAAGGAGCGGTGCCTCCCGGGAATCCGATGTCAGCGGAAAGGAGCCCGCGCCAGTGCGCATGCGCACAGCTCTGCCGTAGGAGGCGGGGTCCGGGCAGTCCGGTCCCGGGTGCTGACGCTGCCCCGGAGGCCGCGGTGCAGGCGGGGAGGCCGTCGGGGAGGCGTTATGGAGCCGCATCAGGACGTGTGAACCGAAAGACTTATGCCCAGAGCGCCGCAAAATCTGCGGGAGACAGGACACCTGGTTTCAATTGTAACCGAATTCTCCAGTTGCCCTGTAGCCTCTTTACCTCTTTTCTCGAGGATCCTGGCATACCCTGAGCTGCAGACCCTTAAGAGCTAGGAGCTGACGATGTAAGAGAGGTGCGGACCCGGTGCAGGGCACCGACACCTGTTCAGTGGTCGGGTTTGCCTTCTCTGCAGCCTGTCTCTTGAAGCGTGTACATCCTAGTGCATCCATAGCTTTTCGTCCCTCGTAAGGAAGGGGTGTGTGTGTGTATGTGTGTGTGTAAAGTATTATCTTTTCCTTTGGTGAGACACTATTTTGGGGTGACGAGCAGACTCACTTATTCCCTCCAAAGTTACAAGTTTATGCCACCTTGCTTGAAAGTGTGTGCAACTTGATTCTGAGGGACAGTGCTACTAATATAATTCGCCTCAGGTCAGTGCAGGGGAAAAAAAGCCAGCCTCGGGCTCAGTGAGTAGGGCGCCGGCCTCATATACCAAGGGTGGCGGGTTCAAACCCAGCCCCGGGGAAACTGCAACAAAAAAATAGTCAGGCGTTTTGTGGCGGGTGCCTGTAGTCCCAGCTACTCGGGAGGCAGAATCGCCTAGGCCCAAGAGTTGGAGGTTGCTGTGATCTGTGACACCACAGCTCTCTACCGAGGGCAATAAAGTGAGACTCTGTTAAAAACAAACAACAACAACAAAAAAACCTTCCCTTAAAAAAAAAAAAAGGTAGCGTCTTAGTTCTGCCTGTGCCTCAATTTCCACAGTAGTTGAGTACCAACTATGTTAGCCTCTAGGTAAGCAGAGTGAGGCAGTTTCTACCTCGAAGTTATTGCACATAATGGAGAGTCTGAGAAGTAGTCAATTACAGTGTTATCCACAATAATAACAGACTCGTACTGCATTTATGGTACAGTTTATTAGGGGACACCAATTACAGTATAACAAACATAACAACAGGCAACATTTACTGAGCACTTAGGTGCTATATAGTGCTTGCATTCACAGCGTGATGAAGTACTAGCTTTACTGTTTTACAGTCTCCTGCGTTAAACAGTTTGATACAAGGTCACAGAGTTGTTAACTAGAAGAGTAGGATATGAACTTGGGTGGACTAAAGTGAACAGCACTGGTAATCAAAGCTCTGCTATTTCTATGACAAAGAATGTTCTGGGAGCACACAGACTATAGGGCTTGATCCAGTTTGGGACATGTCATATGCCTCCCCCTCCCAAATAGCTGGGACCACAGGTGCCCGCCACAACACCCAGCTATTTTTTGGTTGCAGCTGTCATTGTTGTCTGGTGGGCCCCGGCTGGATTCAAACCTACCACCTTAAGTGTATATGGCTGGTGCCTTAGCCACTTGAGCCACAGGCACTGAGCCAGATTAAATTCTTGTTACATGGCTGTGACCAATTGACCTGGAGATATCTAAACTGTGGCCTACATTTCTATATATTTATTTTTTAATTAAAAAATAATTTATTGGGCAGTGCCTGTGGTTCAAAGAGTAGGGCACTGGCCCCATATACTGGAGGTAGTGGCTTTAAACCCAGCCCCAGCCAAAAACTGCAACAAAAAATAATTCATTAGTAAAATACGCTAAGAACTCTATGCCTTCAAAAATATGTTTGCTAGTGAAATATTCTGTCTCATATTGATGGCTGCTGACTGACGGTGGTGAATATAATGGCTGGGGTGGTCGTGACAATTTCTTTAAATGAAATATCTGTGAACTTTGCTATAAGGATTAACTTTTCCTTTCACAAAAGATTTCTCTGTAGTATATGATGTTGTTTCACAGCATTTTACCCACAGTCAAACCTCTTTCAAAATTGGAGTAAATCATCTCTAACTGTGCCACTGTCCTATCAACTAAACTTAAGTAATATTCTAACTTCAGCTTTCTTGCTGTTTCAGTGATGCTCATGGCATTTTCACCAGAAGCTTCTGTCTCAAGACATTACTTTTTCTTGGCTGGTCCAAGTGCAGTAGTGTTTACAACTAATTGATCACAACCAGTCACAGATTCCTTTGTTCCTTCTCCACTCCCACTGCTTCACTTGACTAGCCTTTAAAAAAATAATAAAAGAAAGAAATCACTTTTTTTGCTCATCCATAAGAAGCAACTCTTCATCCTTTCAAAATTTTTTATCATAGTCACTGTATTATTTTTTTTTAATTTGAGATTGATATGAGGGTACACAAGACTGTTGCAGGAAGACAAGGCCCAACGGAGAGAAAGAGCACCCAAACACCACGTTTATAAGAGGAAGGGCTTTCTTCACCAGCCGGGAGCTTACGGCACAGAAGAATTCCAAATGTGCACTCTCCCACTGGCTTGGTCTTTCCCTTTTTATCCACAGTCAAAAAGTTCCACCCCACAGGTACCATTCTTATTGGCCAATTTGAATCAAGAAGGAGATGCTATTCCAGCCCCTATAGAACTACAGGACTTCACAGAACTTGGAAATGTCCAAGTTCCAGGAAGTTAAGTTTACAAATTCCCAAGAGCTGAGTCACCATGGAGAAGACCCTGCAGATGTATCCTTGTGGTTTCCTTGAGAAGACCTGTTCTCCTAGACCTCACCTTTCTGGGGTATCCTCTCTCAAGACTAGGCTACATTGTTTGCATTCGTAAGGTAAAGTCCAAGTTGGAGCTGCTTCCTCCACCCAGGAAATGTGCCACGTAACAGCGCATTGTTCCCTTGGATAGGAACACGCCAACCCTGTCCTCCCTGCCCCCTTCTTAAATGTAACTAAGTTTTTCTCTCAAGTGAGCAGTTACTAACCTTCTAGTTTCAATTTAGTATTCAGCACATGTGATGCTTGTTTTTCTATTCCTGTGGTACTTTTATGTAGTACTTTTTTTTTTTTTTTTTTTGAGACAGAGCTTCAAGCAGGCACCCTGGATAGAGTTCTGTGGCTCAAGTGTTTCTCCTGCCTCCGCCTCCCAAGTAACTGGGACTACAGGTGCCCACCACAACGCCCGACTATTTTTTGGTTGCAGCCGTCATTGTCTTTTGGTGGGCCCAGGCTGGATTCGAACCCTCCAGGTCAGGTGTACAATGTGGCTGGCATCTTAGCCGCTGAAGCCACGGGCACCAAGTCAGTACTTTTTTTTTTTAACAGTGTCTATCAACTGATAAGTAGGTAAATAAAATGTGGCATATCTATATGAAAAAGTATTGTTCAGGTATAAAAAAGAATGAAGTACTGATACCTGCTGTAATATAAATGAATCTTGAAAATATAAAGTGAAAAAACATAAATGAATAAGCTAGTCACAAAAGACATATATTCTATGATTTCATTTATATGAACTGTCCAGAACAGGAGGCAGATTTATAGAAACAGAAAGTGGATCAGTGATTGTTAGGGACTGAGGAGAGGAGTAGAGAAAGGGCAGTGATTGCTAAAGAGTAGGAGGTTTATTTTGTGTGTTGGGGGATGACAAAATGTTCTGGAATTAGATAATGTGAACAGTTGTCAAACTTGATGAATATATAAAATTCACTGAATTGATTATAGTGTGTAATTGATACCTCAGTTTTAAAAATTATAAAAAAGAAAGACAAATGTGAAAGAAATACAGCAAATTACCTTTAGGATTGAGAAGGATTATTATGATACAAAACCCACCAAGCATAAACAAAATGATTGATACTTTCAACTACATTAAAATTAAGTACTTGGCTCAGTGCCTGTGGCTCAAGTGGCTAAGGTGCCAGCCACATACACCTAAGGTGGCAGGTTTGAATCCAGCCCCAGCCCACCAAAACAACAATGACAGCTGCAACCAAAAAATAGCCGGGCGTTGTGGCGGGCACCTGTGGTCCCAGCTACTTGGGGGGCTGAGGCAGGAGACTC